GTCAATTTTTATGACAATGAGACAAATTTCTTATTTTTTTTCTTCAACAATCACATCATATAAATTAAAGGTTAGCTGCTGTTGCTGCCACTGCTCCTTTTTTTTTTCTTCTTCTTTTTATACAGCTCGTATTTTTGCTGGAATTTGTTTGCCAGTAAGTGCAGCAATAAGGCCATCTTCAGCAAGTTCCATCATATCTTTTCGGGTAGCTTCAGTTGCCGAACCAATATGCGGTAGTACAATACAGTTATCCAATTTAAACAGTGGGCTGTCCAAAGGCAATGGTTCTGGTGTAGTTACATCTAAACCGGCGGCTCTTATTGTACCATTTGTTAGTGCCTCATGTAGATCAGTCTGATTTACCAGTGTACCCCTCAAAAAGTAAATGTCAATAAAGGCATAGCTTTTGGGTAATTACAGAAAAAACAGCAAAAAAATAGAAGTTTTGTTCAACTATAAACCAGAAGAAAACAAACACCAATTTTACATAGAAACCAACAGCAGTTAACAAACTGAAGATTTAATTGTGCACCTAAAGAATTGTAGTTTATCTACGAAAGAAAAAGTGCAGTTAAACTGCCAAATTAAGCAGTTACCTGCTGGTATTAACAAGAACAGCATTTTTCTTCATCTTTTTGAATGCTTCTTTATTCATCATTCCTGCATTTTCAGCAGTTGCTGCACAGTTTATTGTTACAAAATCAGATTTTGCTAACAGTTCATCCATTGAAACAAATTTTGCACCAAAAGGTTTTGCATCTGAAATTATATAGAATTATTGAAATCTACTAAGACAACGAAAAACATGTTTTTCCTGTTGGGTTTTTTTGGCTTTTCTTCAAGAATTTCAAGTTGATGACATACGTTCTTCGTTTGGATATGGATCATAGCAGAGAATCTTTGACGGATTAAACGATTTGATTTTTTGTGCTACTGACTGACCAATACGTCCAAAACCAATGATGCCAACCACAGAATCACGAATTCCAACACCACACCTGTAATTTTCACAGTTTTACCTACATTATTATTCTTTTTTTTTGCTTTTTTTTTCAGTCAACAGCAGTCAGAATTGAGGTTTAATAGTGTTTTTTTTCGCAATTATTAATCACTACAAAAATACATTAGTCATCAATCATTTCACTAAAAAAAAACCACGCACAATAAATTTACACACATCTTTACGTTTTTTCAGCTGTTCAACAAACACTTTGTTCAGTTTTTGGTAACATTATTTGGAATAAAAAAAATAAACAACTGTTGCAAGAAACAAATTACAGTAATCTAACAATTTTCTAATATAAGTTTTGAAAAAAATTGGCCACATATTCTTTTAAAAAATTAGTCATTTTTAAGCTTCTATAAATTTAGACTGTTTCTTAACGTATTGTTAAGTATTAAACAATTGTAATATAGGGCATATTCGGCGCTTAAAGGTACCGTTTTACCACGGTTTAACAGTCGTCTGTAACAACAAAAATACTGCTGTTACAACGCCTTAACATCAACAAACGAAGTCGTTCCGTGTGTACAGAAATTGAATTTTTGCTGGTACTGTTACTGCAGAAAAAATAACCAGTGTTTGGATGTTTTCAACAGCAATAAGATCAAAAAGTTTACATATAAAACGGTTGCCAAGTTCCCCAGCCACCTGTTTTGGCTTCTCGAATAGCTTCTGGAAAACGTCGTGCTGTTGCAAGCATTAAAGCTAAAGTGGTTTCAGCGGTCGTTTCTGTGAGAACATCGGGAGTGTTGGTTACAATAATTCCGCTAAAAATTATGCTACTGAAATGTTGATACAATATCTGTATTAGCAGTTTCAAAACATGTGGCAATACAGAAAAAAATCTGATACATTAATTATTATAAGAATATAATTAAATAGTGGCCCAAACAAATACCGTTTTTTACATTCTTTAATATCGATATGATCATAACCAACCGACATTGTAGAAATAACTTTTAGCTTTTTTGCCTTTTCCAATACCTGCTTGTCGATTTTATCGCGTAACTAAAATTTCACTCGTCAATTGCTTACCAAACCTAATCTACCTGATTTTTTGACTTCTTTTTTTTTACCGCTTTTTCTTCCACTTGTCTACTGCCGAGTATACACTTCATTTACGCTGTTATAATGCTTCAGTCAACTTGTTTTTGGAAAAAACTCAGAAAATCCCTTCAGCTCTTTTTTTTGCATAGATTATTTGCAAATTTGATAATAGCAGCAAAAAAAAGAAGAATTACATTTTTTTTTGCCTCCCAACTTTTTCCGCCTTCACATAACTATGCAATCGTTCAAACGTTTAAGATCACAACGGTACTAAGACAGTGAAAAAATTCAGGTTTTTTTACGTCATTTTTTTGATTAATTATTTGACGACAGCACAAACTGTTCTAAGCCTAACCCAGAAAAAAGAAAAAAAAATTTATAGAAAATGAAAAAGAATATTAAATTTACCAAACAGTATAATCCCTCATGTTTCGGAATCTCCTCCAGCAGCAGATCACGTGGCATTGTTTTAGCATATTTATAATGAGCAACATTGAAATTCTTGTATACCCGGGGTACTACAACTTCCTGTGCTGTCACCAGAACGCTTGGTGCATTTGCAAATTTTGCTGCTCGTAGTATCTGATTCATGATCGTCTGCTACCGTTTAGGTTATCTCAAAAAAGTATGTATAAGTTTGCAATAAATAAATAAACATTTCCCATTTTGTAAACACTTTATATACTTGCAAAAAACATTCAAGCATTAAGACAACAAAATAATACTTTTGAAGTGTAAACAACCTTGGAATAAAGTGATCATCGTCATGTTTTTTTTTTTTTCAAAGATAAAATTTCGATAATAAAAAACAACAGAAAAAAATGAATTATTGGAAAATGTTATTCGATACAGTAAACAACAAAAATTTCAAAAAAAAATTGTGTTTTTTCTTTTGAATACTACTAAAACTTGTTGTTCCATGTAGTCTCAACTAGCCAAACGTACAGAAGGAGAAAGGTGGACGGGTAACAGCAATACACAGTGTACATTGTTTCAACTGGAATTGATATCAATGTTTTAGAAGCAATCAAAGAGCAAAGGAGACGAAAAAAAAAAAAGAAACTATGAACATTGGGTTGTTATAGTCGTCAACAGTTCAACATTTGAACAGTTTGTAGAAGCAGCAGCAGAAGCAGTAGCATTAGCAACTGTTTACCAGTTCCATACAGAATGTTTAATAGTAAAATTTTTTTTTCTCATTTTTAATTGCATTCACGATTATGCATTTCACTCAGATAAAAAATATAAGTCCTAATTTCTATTGTGTTTTAACCATCAGACTGCACACATAAGTCAAAATTTTTAGTTGTCAGAGGGAAAAGCAAAATTACTGAAGCTGCTAAAACGATCCCTAACGTAAGGTGCATCTTAAAGTGGTAAATTTTAAAACCTCATCTCTATGTTTTTCTGTGTCATAAAATTTCAGATCTGTTCAGAAACGTGATTATTTATAAGACTGCGAACAGATACTAATCAACCTCTGCAATTATGACACGTAGTTCCACTTTTTTTTGTGTTAAATTATAATTTTTTTGTTACCTTTGCTACAGAATTTCTATTTCTATTGGATAACTTTACGCTGAAAACACCGTCAGCTTTTATATTTGTTTGTTAAGTAAAAAAAAAAGTAAATAATACTACTAGAGTAAGACGTAAAAACTAAATCAAATTCATAGAGTGCTTTGAAAAAATTCCGTATACTGCAGCTTCTGAAACAATTTCAAGCCGATAAGCTGTATTTATTTCAGCCTTTTTTTGTGATGCACTTTTTTTTTCGTTGTTTGTTACGGCAGATCGTTAAAGAACGAAATTTGAACATTTTTTTTGATCTTTAACCCATTTATTAACTGCACAATTTTTGGTGATTGTAACGGCATTTGCTGTCAGCAATAGCATTGCCGTTTAAACAATAAAAATACAGATATTAAGACGTCTAATTTGTGTGATATGTGGCCTGTCAATAGCTTAGAAACCAACAATATCATTTTTAAAAGAACCGAAAGCAATTGAATGCGAAAAAAATTGTAAATTGGCCCGTACAAGGTTCAATTCAAAGAAAAAAAAAAGATAAGTGCGTCATTCAAGTAAACTGATTAATCCTTCAAAAGGGTTAAGGATTGGCTAAATAAGCCTCCTGCTGTACTCTGACAGCAGTAAGTCATGTCAATTGCCTGCCATTACCGCACATGATGTGAGTGTTTCTTTAAACGGCCTTCCAAATCAGTAATTTCAAGCAGTCAGTTCAATTAAGCTAAAAAATCTATCTTGTCAGGAATGCCAATAAACTGGCAATTGAGAACTATTAGTCTGAATTCAGCTGCGGCATTTTTTTCTGTTTTTCAACACCAATTCCCTTATACAGCCTCGTCCATAAAAAGGTGCATAAAATTACTGGTTCCTTTAACAAGCCAATGGTCCATAAATTGTCATGCGGCTAGAAGCACAAAAAAACATCAATAGTTTCCCCTACCTAACCGTTAACTCACTTAACTCACCTAACTTCTGAAAAGTTCAGTCCCACTATTACTGAACCTTAAAAACCGTTTCTGGTCCAGAAGAACTGTCAGCAAAAAAAATGAATTTTGTCGCTACATGTACCGCACTTTCCAACATCATGCATATGTCACCTATATCCATAAAATGTCTAGGATTTCAGCGAAACAAAAGCCTAAAGTTCTGCTATTGAGGTGACTTAAAGAAAAAGATGTAATTCTCAAAAAATTAGCCTTTCAAGCGTGAAATTCATAAGAAAAACAATACGATTTTAAAAAATTCATTTAGATTTTCAAGAAAACCTTTTAACTTTAAATAGTGAAGATGATCAACTGAACAGTTGAAAACAAGTCAGCAGAAAAGTCTTTATTATCCTCAAAGATGAAATACTGTCTATATTGATTATGCTTTACTAAATTCTACGAACATTCGATGTTCCACTAATGTGCTTTTCCCTAACGGAAACGTGGATTACTAATGATAGCTATATTAGCAACACCAACAATGCATCCTCAATACATACTCCTTTGGTTTTGTATTCGTTCAACTCTTCAAGCTCTAAGACAGAATTATCAAAAACCTAAACCGCTCGGTTGCAAGAGTCAAGTCTCTTCTCCTTTTTCATCTTTTTATTGTTCCAAACGTATATTCATAAGAACAGATATCTGGCTACGCAGAAAAGCAATACTGCTGAAAACAGATCAGTAGTGATGAAAAGTTGCATTTGGAGATACAAAATCTGAAAACTCTCGAGAAAATTAATTTGTCAGAAACATAGTTGAGAGACCTACACTGATCAGCAAATTCCTAGTTTGCGCTATAAACTTGATACCGTATAAAACAAAGATAGGTAACGAAGCCTCAGAGGTATCAACTGCTCACCCAGAGTGCTGAGCTTTGCAAGGAAGAATCTCTGTTTGCATTTGTACCGAGAAAAATAGAATGATTTTTTTAATCTGTATCCATTGCTATTGCTTCTGCCTTTCTACTTACTGAAAACGGCTCCTTAGTGTATTACCTAATATTTGCTTCATTGATTCTACATTAAACTTGCAATTATTTCGCTACCACTTTTAATTTGAGTAAGCTTATGCTGCACCTTAACGCCATATTTCGGAATGTTGTGACAACAGTTTTTGAACAAGCGAATAAAAAGACACAAATCCTTCTTACGCAACTGTCTGTTCCCCTCAAATATGCTTCATAACTACTGCTTATTGTCAAATTCGTCTTAAAAACAAGTGTTCCTTATACAGATATAACCAGCTTTCAAAAAATTTTTAAATAAACTCAGTTCACTACATAAAGATCCACATTTAGTGAAATTCATAACAAACTGGAATTTAGGCAATTCTTAAATTTCAGGTAAATGTTTTCAAAGTTCAGCTTCTTGCTTGACGACAAAGCAAACTTTCAAACGACGTAAAAGATATACATTATTACACCCAAACTTACAAATTATATGATTCAGACAGCAGGCTTTCTGTGATATTTTATATGTTCAAATTGTTGATTTCGTATCTTGATTTGCAAAGCAATTTTTAAGATTACTGAACACTGTTACTGGTGATAATTGGTGTGTTTACTGTAAAAAAACTCCTCTAAAAGCCAGACATTTTTGTTCGTCAAAGAAATATTTATAAACCTTAAAAATGCCCATTTTTATTAACATTTTATTAATGTCTCATTCATACCTTTAAAGAGAAAAAACAAGTGGTAATTTCGACTAACTTCTTTAGAAAGATATTAATAAAACTAACTTATAGTATTCTGTGTGACTGCTTTTCAACGAACTTATTGCATATAGTTTAGCCGTCGAAAATCACCATAAAAAATCCCTCATAACCAACGACTGTTGAATAAATAACTGTAAAGCAACGTCTTCGTTTCATTGGCATCAAAATCAATACTGAACAAAAAGAAGAAAAAAAAATGTTCAGTCAACAAACCACTCAGTAACTAAGTAACATTAGTCTTAATTTCTGTATGTCGCTATCAGGTGGTCCATTACCGGTAGTTGTATTTAACAAACAAAAAAAAAATTTCTGTATTGTTAAGCCGCTTATACTAATTATGAAAATGACCTGTAGATAGCAAACAACAGTGGCAAGAAAAAAAAAGTAAAAAGCCCAAATCAGAAAAATAACTTATAAATAGAAAACTCACTGATCAGTTAAATTGGCAACAGTTAGAATAACGTTGTGTCAAACAGCAGTAAGGAAGCCAGAAGAAAACTTTATACTGATACGATAACTACAGTTTCAATCGTTTACAGTCGCTAAACAATTAGCAAATTAGAAATAACATAAAAAACTTATAAGATACATTTTTCACCATTCAACTTCAATTATTTACTCCGTAAAACCAAAAAAATTTCGATGAATTCACCCATGACAACAAATATGTCGTTTACAACAACAACAAAAAATAAAAAAAAAAAGAAACTGGCAACATTACAAATCAATTGATTCAGTTTACTTGGTAATAACTTTAAAGAAGAAGAAAAAATCAAAAAAGAGAAATTACTGGTCAAATAAGCAACGAATAAAATATTACAAAGATTCTCCTTCAGAAATCTACTCTTCCAAAACTAAGAAAAACAAACAAAAAAAAAAAAA